TTATATGACAAATTTTGATTTTTCTAAGTCGTATTGGACTTGTTCTGGCATGTAGTTATGTTACTTTGGTTCAGTTTGATCTTTTCAAAGCTTGCTTTTAAGGTTTGTTAGTGGAGATTCAGAGCAGCCTTCAGTCTAAGGCTAATTGCACCAACATCTTCTCTACCCCTTACAAATACAGTGTTACCTTTCTGAGAACACTACCCGTTGCCCATGTCTTGTAGGTTTTTCTATTCTGGCTTGTGGGAATACCAAATTATTTGCGGCCTATGTAAATTCTAGGAATTGTTTGCCCTATTGATTCCTGGTAGTTCTTTATCCACATTCATGTAGTTTTCGCCCACACATGAGCAGGTCATTAATCTGCAAATGATTTGAGGATACTCCTCTACAGATATCCGGTGACTCTTTCTGTGGATCTCCCTTCCCTTCCATAGTCTGCTCCACAAATTCTAGCTGTTTTGGCCTCCATGAACTCCATTCTTTGTCTTCTCACCTCAGGTGAGGTCACCAGTCTCTACCTGAGTTTCCCTCTCTCTGTGCTGCAGCCTGCAGATTGTCTCCAAGCAATAAGCAGAGAGACAACTGCTGAATTTAGCTTGTTTTCTCCCATTTTATTCAGAGGCCATAGTTCTTTGCTACCTGTTGTTCAGTGTCTGAAAATACTTGTTTTATACGGTTTGTTCGTTTGTTTGTTTTCTAGTTTTTTTTAATGCAAGAGGGCAAATCTTGTCCTCATTACTCCATCATGGCTGCAAGTAGAAGTTCTGTTTTCATAGTTCTTTGTTTCAAGGTGAAAAGTTTTAATAAAACAATTTTTTTAGTATTTACTATAAATTTTGTTACCTATTTAAATGAATTCACTGTCTTTTTTCCAGTACCGATTATTCTGAGATAATGAAGACATACTGTATTTGTTTAAGTTATATGAAATTTTAATCATTTTGATATTCTAGGAAGAATTCAGTGCAAATAAACATACTTTGGAGAAAGATCAATTTGAAATACTATTTACTTCCTAGAATTTATTTTGTCTGTTAGGGATTTTATCATTTAACTGCTATAATTTTAACTAAAGAATAATAAAACCTGCTTGGNAATGCACATTTTTGTTTGGTATAAAATTTGCTTGATATTGAATAGTTGGCATTTTGTTTTGTCCTTAGTGTTTTGAATACATCACTTCATTGCCTCTTGATTTACATAGTTTATGACAAGAAGTTCACAGTCATTCTTGTCTTTCATGTTCTGTTTATGATTTGTAATGTGTCTTTCTTTTTCCTTTGTCTGTGTTGATGTTTTTCTCTTTGTCAGTGGTTTTCAGCATTTTATTTTAGGTTTCTTTGATGTAATTTTTGTTGTGATTATTCTTTTAAGGTTCATAGGATCTTTGGATCTCTGGGTTTGTTTTCATCAAATTTGAAAAAAAATAATTGATAATTATTTCATTAAATATTTATTATCTTCTGTCCTCTTTCTTGTTGAAACTCTTACTTACATGTCTGTAGGATGAGTTGTTCTTGTCCCACAGGTCACTGATGCTGTGCTCATTGTATTTTTTTTTCTTTTCAGTTTTTGTTCTCTGTGGACTTCAATTTGGATAGATTCTAATGCTATGTCTTCAAGTTTACTTATGTTTTTCTTTTGCAATGCCTATTCTTCTGCTAACCCATCCAGTATATTTATCACTGCAAATATTACATTTCATCTCTAGAATCTTTATTTAGGCCTTTTATAAATTCTTCCATTTATCTTCTCATTGTATTGATGCCATTCCCTGAACATATGAAGCATATATAACATCACTGTTTCATGTTTTATAATTTCATGATTTCTGTCATTCTGGGCCTATTTATATTGAATGATCTTTCTTCTTGTATGAGTTTGCTAGAATTACCATAACAAAATACCCCAAACTGGGTGTATTAAACAATAAAAATTTATTTTCTAGCATCTCTGGAGGCTAGAAATTCAAGACCAAAGTGCCAACGTGGTTGATTTCCTCTGACGCCTTTCTCCTTGACTTGAAGATGTCTGCTGTAATGTTGCCTCTTCACATGGTCTTTTCTCTGTGTATGCACATCCCTCGTGTATCTTTATGTGTTCAGATTTTCATTTCTTTTTTTTTTTTCCTTTTTGTCTTTTTTCACGTCTGGCAATGGATCGCAACCCTCAGTGTCGTGCCCGTACCGGACTGGACCGGCAACGGGATCGCAACCCTCGGTGTTGCTCCCGCCCCTCGCTCAGCCAGTGAGCGGGAACCGATCTGTATGTGGGATCTGAACCCTCGGCGGGAGCGCCACCGCGCTCCCAAGCGGCGCACTGTGGCAGTGTGCCACCGGGCCAGCCCCAGATTTTCATTTCTTATAAGACTACACTCATATTGTGTTAGGGCCCATCCTAACAGCATCATTTTAACTTAATCACCTCTTCAAAAGCTCTATTTCCAAACACAGTTGCATTCTGAGGTTCTGGGGGTTAAGGTATCAACATACGAGTTTTGGAGGGACACAATTCAGCCCATAACACTCCGAGTTACAGTTCATATGTTCTTGCTGTTTACATTCCTGGTAATTTTTTATTGAATGCTGTACATTTTTAAGTTTAGATCTTATATGACAAATTTTGATTTTTCTAAGTCGTATTGGACTTGTTCTGGCATGTAGTTATGTTACTTTGGTTCAGTTTGATCTTTTCAAAGCTTGCTTTTAAGGTTTGTTAGTGGAGATTCAGAGCAGCCTTCAGTCTAAGGCTAATTGCACCAACATCTTCTCTACCCCTTACAAATACAGTGTTACCTTTCTGAGAACACTACCCGTTGCCCATGTCTTGTAGGTTTTTCTATTCTGGCTTGTGGGAATACCAAATTATTTGCGGCCTATGTAAATTCTAGGAATTGTTTGCCCTATTGATTCCTGGTAGTTCTTTATCCACATTCATGTAGTTTTCGCCCACACATGAGCAGGTCATTAATCTGCAAATGATTTGAGGATACTCCTCTACAGATATCCGGTGACTCTTTCTGTGGATCTCCCTTCCCTTCCATAGTCTGCTCCACAAATTCTAGCTGTTTTGGCCTCCATGAACTCCATTCTTTGTCTTGTTCCACTTTGCGGATTTTTTTTTTTTTTTTTTTCACTTTTTCCCCTAGGCACAGTTTTTCTTGTTTTTTAGCCCTTTAATGTGCTTACTTTAATTTTCACTTTTGAGACCAAAGGGCATCATGTCTGTAAGTAGGCACTGAGATAAAACATCTCTCTCCTTTGTCACATATTGCTTTATGATGAAAATGCTGAAAGTGTAGTCACATTCCTGAACAGGAACCCTGTATTTTACTTTGGACACAAGAAGGAAGACTTAATAACTTATTCAAATTTAAGTTCAGAATTGAGAATATTATTGTTGCGTTGTTTGGTATCCTGGGTATCAATAGGGAATTATTGGGTTTAAAGTCATTGTTTGGATTACACTGTGATCCTATCAGTTTGTGTTCCCTTGCTATTATATCCATGGCTCAGAGGAAAAAATCTACTTTACTGCCTTAAGAATTAAAATAAACATACTTTGGAGAAAGATCAATTTGAAATACTATTTACTTCCTAGAATTTATTTTGTCTGTTAGGGATTTTATCATTTAACTGCTATAATTTTAACTAAAGAATAATAAAACCTGCTTGGCTATTTACTTCCTAGAATTTATTTTGTCTGTTAGGGATTTTATCATTTAACTGCTATAATTTCAACTAAAGAAACCTGCTTGAAGAATAATAAAACCTGCTTGGCATTTGTTACAATTATTGCAGTGCATAAATAAAAAGGAAAATATATCCAGATTAATATGCTTTCTGTTCCAATGTGGATATAAGTTAATCACTTCAAATTATCCTTTCAAATTGGTAATGTCTTTTTTTTTCTCTTCCCTATTGATCACTGCTCATGCAAGTCCATGTGGGAACTTTAGAAAAATGTGTGTAAAATATCTAATAAAAGAAAAATTGATGTGGTCTGTTGTTTGGGCTGGACATCTATCCAGACATCAATTATTTAGCAATTGACATCTATTACTTGCTGTTTTTGATATGACTTTTGTCCTCACCAATGCCGTATAATAAAAAATACTAAGACAGACTACTCAGTCTCTGCCTGATAATAAGCAAATTTGTGCTCACAGTTACATCCTTTGAATTATCCTGAATTTTAGTATAAAAAAGTGTGAGATGAATGACATATTTTCTTGGTGGCCATTTACATTTGGAAATAATTAGAAAACTGTTTTCAATATGCAAAGCAGCAAGTAATTCACTTTTTTAATACCTTAAACCATGTTCATAAAGCATACTTCTTGTCATTTTCCGCCTAATTTTTCACCTGATTTTTCCATTTCTTCTCCTCTCTTTTCAGGAAAACAGTTGGTGTTTTCTGCTGTGGACCCAATTCAGTTTCTAAGACTCTTCATAAACTGAGTAACCAAAGCAACTCATATGGGACAAGATTTGAATACAATAAAGAATCGTTCAGCTAAAAGACCTTTGAGATGAACCAGGACTCTAAAGAAGGAATAAGTGCAATTCCTAAGACTTTGAAACTCAGCTGACTCAAGTAGCTGTGTTGTGCCAAAGAGTAGCGAGGTTTTCTTATTTATGATTATTTAAAATGGAAATGCAGAAAATGTGGCAAAATGGAAGTTCACATTACATATTTAATCTGGAAGCCAAAGAGACCCTGAAGATTATTTGATGTGATGATTTAGTCTTCAATGCTCAAATTAAAAGAAAACTATTAGATGCACACTGTTGATTTTTATAGCAGATTCAAGAGCTCCCTGGAGAGGAGCTGAATTTGCTCACTCTGAGGCTGATAGCCCTCGTCCTCTTTAAATGGTTTTTGGTTGAACAAATGCAAGATTGAACAAAATTAAAAATTCATTGAAACTAAGATTACATTTTCTATGTTATGTGTAAACAGAGTAGCTTTAATTTTGGAAAGCTCCAAGCAAATATATTAAATGTTTGAAAATACAGTACAGGACTCTGTATTGATACGGGTAATTTTGTCAATATGTAATCTTCCTCACTATTGATGCTGATACCTCTACTTGATGTCTGTAGTATATATGCTGACTGCACCTTTGCAGATGTTGATATAGTATCTACTTTTATACTTTTCTTTCTTTCTTTTCCTCTGTCTAGTGAAATCTGCCCTCCCTTAGCATGCATTACACACAGTGATTTAATAGGTCTTCTTCATTTACAGTTTATTTAATCTATTGCTATTGAATAATAATGAAAATTACAAGTATCATTACTATACAATATAAAGGGATAGATTTGTTAATAGCTTTTTTCTTTTTTCAGCATTTTGGCCTCTATTTTTTTTTTTTTTCACTTTTTCCCCTAGGCACAGTTTTTCTTGTTTTTTAGCCCTTTAATGTGCTTACTTTAATTTTCACTTTTGAGACCAAAGGGCATCATGTCTGTAAGTAGGCACTGAGATAAAACATCTCTCTCCTTTGTCACATATTGCTTTATGATGAAAATGCTGAAAGTGTAGTCACATTCCTGAACAGGAACCCTGTATTTTACTTTGGACACAAGAAGGAAGACTTAATAACTTATTCAAATTTAAGTTCAGAATTGAGAATATTATTGTTGCATTGTTTGGTATCCTGGGTATCAATAGGGAATTATTGGGTTTAAAGTCATTGTTTGGATTACACTGTGATCCTATCAGTTTGTGTTCCCTTGCTATTATATCCATGGCTCAGAGGAAAAAATCTACTTTACTGCCTTAAGAATTAAGGCATTCATACAATTTAGTGATTTGGTTTAGTAGACATCTATTACTATCAAATACAACACATTGCTGAAATCAGCAGTGTGACTTGGGCTTGCCTTTGTTAAGAGTTTGCATCTAGGGCCGGCCCTGTGGCTCACTCGGGAGAGTGCGGCGCTGGGAGCACAGTGGTGCTTCCGCCGCGGGTTCGGATCCTATATAGGGATGGCCGATGCGCTCACTGGCTGAGTGCAGTGTGGGCGACACCAAGCTAAACCATGCAGCTTGAATGACCATAAGCATATTTACTTGAAGATATTCCTCCCTCTCTTGGAATTATTTCTTCTCCCTTCTGTGAAAAAAAAAAAGGGGTGAATCAAAAAAAGTAATGGGAAATGTGCAATGCTCCTGCAGATTTAGCTCTGAAGGCATATTTACTAACCAGTAATCTTGTCAACACTTTCTAGATTGAAAAGAATTTTCATGAAAACATGTAATAGAACTAGTAAAAAGAAACGAGTTAGTTCAAGCATGATATGCAATACTGACTATAGTTCATAATTTATTTATGTAATTATATTCATGCACCTAATTTCAATAAAACATGTACAGTTTCCAAAAGAAAAATGGTATTTTAGAGCAGGTCTATTATTTTAGATGAGTCTCCTTTTCCATATTATATCTCAGTTAGATGTTCACCCACTAAGGGTTAATACAATTTTTGCTTCAATAGA